CCTCGTGACGGCTGAGCTACATCTCCTCGACGGCCGCCATGTTGGTGACGCCGCGTCTGTTTTCGAGTGGCGTTTCCAGTGACTGTTTCGCGGTCGGAGCGCGGGCTAGGTATTTCTCCATGCCACGGGAGGAAGAGGGTCCTCCCGTGGCATCAGACCGGATCAAGACTGGATGGGCACCGATATTGGTCGGTGTGGCGGGACGGAGCTGAGGAGCGCATGTCTATTCCATTAGGCGCCGGAACCGGAAGTCGCCCAATTGTTTTTCAAGGTTAGTAGAAACAGATGTAAAATGTAAAACAGATGTAAAAGTTATAGCAGACAGAGCTTCTGAGCCAAAGTAAAAGGCCAGTATGTAATTTACCCCTCCAAACTCATTCTATGAAAGAAGCGTCACTTTCGGGTTAAGTGACCCTAGAAGTTCACCATACAATCAGTTCACTGTTTTGTAACACATTTTCTTTAACACTTGCATAATCTAATTTTTTACAGTTATATAAGCCTTTAATACACGACAGCGTATTTAAAATAACATTGATAACAAGTACGCTGCCTGGTATGGTATTAAGGTATGTTAAGGAAGAAGCTGTGTGATGAGAAAAGAGGTTAGAAGATGAAAGGGTTAGACTTGACATCTGTCATTGAAAAACATTTTTTTTTTCATTACAGTGCCTGCAATTTGTTTCACTGTAAAATGTGTTGCATGACATCAAAGGACACCCATCATACTGTAAAAAACATATCATATGAGAATCATTTCGGTATGTTTTCACACAAGAACAAAGGATATAAGAACACAAATAACAGCAAAATATGTAAAGTGTTCCTTTTATGTGAAATTAAACCAAAACATGATAGCTATAATAGCAGTTATTCCAATGTCTTCAGAAGGACAAAGTAGGTTAACATGCTACATAGTTACATAGTATTTGAGGTTGAATAAAGACATAAGTCCATCAAGTCCAACCTATTGCGTGTGTGCATTTATGTTTGATCAGGTGTGTGCGTGTGTATTAGTCCGTGTGTAATTTTGCTCTTAGGAGTACCCCTGTATGTTATGGTCTCGTCTAGGACTTTCTTGAATGATTCCACACTCTTAGCTGAAATCACTTCCTGCGGAAGCGAGTTCCAGACCTTAACCGCTCTAACTGTGAAGAACCCCTTGCGTCCTGTGTGTTGACATTTTTTCCCCACCAATTTTTGGTTGTGCCCTTTGGTCTTTGTTACTGAACTTAATGTAAACAGTTTGTTTTGTGATGTTGCTGTCACCATTGAATAGTTTATACAGGAGAATCATGTCCCCCCTTAATCTCCTAACCTCCAACGAGAACATATTTAATTTTAACAGCCTTGTTTCAAAGTTCAGGTCCTCGAACCCCTTAATGAGTTTGGTTGCCCTCCTCTGGACTTTTTCCAGCTCAAGGACATCCTTTCTGAGTATCGGTGACCAAAACTGGACCACATACTCCAGATGTGGCCGAACCAGTGATCTGTAAAGTGGTAAAATTATAGATCTGTCCCTGCAATACATTCCTTTCTTAATGCAAGACAGGACTCTACTTGCTTTGTTTACAGCAGCCTGGCACTGCGAGCTGTTGTTCAATCTGCGGTCTATAATGACCCCCAAATCCTTGTCCGTTTCTGACTTTCCTAGTGGCACACCCATACGTGTATAGTCCATTTGCCTATTTTTAACTCCAAGGTGCATTGCCTTACATTTATCGACATTGAACTTCAACTGCCATACAGTTGCCCACTCCCCGATTTTATCCAGGTCCTCCTGTAATGTTATAGTGTCTAAATCTGTGTCTACTACCCTCCCAATTTTCGTATTATCAGCAAACACTGAGTCATGGCTACTCACTCCCTCCCCTATATCATTAATAAACAGGTTAAAAAGCATAGGCCAAGTACAGAACCCTGGGGCACGCCACTAATGACCTCAGCCCAGTGTTCTAAGAGTGTCACTGAGGTGTTACCTGAAGACTTTGGGCCCCAGTGCAAGTAATGAGTCAGGTCCCCTGCTATCTCTAGCAACCTACCTTCCCCATTCTAACACCCATGTACAACCCCCATATTTTCCCAACATCTAAAGTCTTACCACCCCACCTTTACTTACACATACCCCATTCCAACATCCCTTACACTCAGCCCCTCAGTTCTGTATAGACCATGCAATTAACACCCCCAATCCATATTTTTCAGCTCTGTACAGCTACAAGGCAGATATGTCACCCACGTGCATACTTACTAATAGTGCTCAATGATATCATTGTTCACATGCGAGGCATACTTTAACCTTTTTATTTAATCATTTATTTTTATTCAATAGATTTTTATTAAGGTATATAGAATCTGCAACACAAACATTGTTGATTACATCAGATTATGGATCCACAATTGTAATATTAGAAACAGTGAGACATACAGTATACAGCATTGTCTAAGAAAGCAGATAATTATTCCAATTTGGATTCACACAGGCAATAATAATGGGCTCACTGGAGCTGAACTATAACCGAGCCTCCTAGGCGAGTACCGTAAATCGCGAGTAGACATATTGATCAACATTTACAAAGTTAGAAAGTCCCATAATAGGAAATGAGTGTTGCAGAAGGGAGTACGTAGGGGAAGTACTAGGGGTAGGGACTTTAACCTTTTATTAGTAATACTATTATTATTATTTATAGTATTATTATTTACCTGGCCCTTCTGAGGCTTTAGTCTAGGGACTAAAAAGGAAATTCTCCCAGAAGCAGAGTTAGTCCTAACACAGGATTCTCACTCACACATTTGTCTGCTTTAGACGTTAGGCATTGGATGGGTTCCTTTTAATGCTGATTAGATAGTGATTAGGGACATTGATAAGGAGTCCTTATGAACCCCAGAAAAGAAAAACAGCTTAACTGCATCTTCTACCGCTACCTCTAGTGCTTCTGTTACAGATGTCTGAGATACCAAACGTATGAACACACACACACACACACACACAAACACTGTATAACAATTTATCATGGTTACCATATATTTATTTTGTCATGTTAAATTTGCGGTTATGATGAATCCTATCTCAAAGATGCAATAAATTGCAAAGCTTAGATTATGAGAAACTTCTGCGATGCTGTGACCTGCTTGCCAATGTCACAGAGAGTGCTGACTCTGGCATAACAAATTCAGTGTTAAACCTTAAGGACCTGGGAATGTGGCAATGGATTATCTGTACTGCAAGAATAGCACTTATAAAAACACACAATTTGACAGCATTAATTTACTGTTAAAAACAGTAGTCAAAATTCCGTATATACATTTAAACAGTGAATTTGTAACTTTATGCTATATCTTGATATAATTTGCAGGACAGTATTTATTTAATATATGGCACAGCTTTGAGTTATGTGCTGATAGTATATGCTGATATAATACGCAGGATAATTATTTATATTAAAACACTTATTCATTTGTAGATTAAGACCACTAAACCTGGGATTTGGATCTGAAGGAATCTGCCAGTATCCCTGGTTTAGGTCCAAGATTGTTAAATAATGGGCACTGGCCTATTTATCTTACAATCAATCAACCTTTGGCATTGGGTAGACATCAAAAACTGTGATATGTGATTGCATTCAGTTTCCAATAGTCTATGCAAAACCTGGTGGTCTATTCTCATTTGGGCCACTTGGGCTTTTGGTCTAGTACACACTTCAGGAAACTCCACAAGACATGTGTGGAGGAACTGGTCCTTAATCATAAGCAGACAGTCTCTTCAGCCACTGCTGGAAAACAACAAGCAAATTGGCAGATGCAGCTGCCATTAGGACTTTGCTGCAATGCCCTGAAGGCTTGCAATGCACCTCTTGTGTGAGGTGTTGCAATTTAGTAATGACCTGTTTAATGGCCTTTCCTTGGCCCTCTAGGGGGTTCATAAACACACCCAGGGCCTTGCCTCAAAGCGCTGGTATATGGTGCCATGCCCATTGCCAGTATTGACAACAACTCCTTTCAGATTTCTGTGTAGGTTTTATACAGTTTAAAGCTGTAAAAAATATGACAGCTGTAAATAAACAGGTCTCTTTAATTTCACTTAGACTAGTATATGTTCTGTGGCAGTTCATGACAATGTCGTGGCATAGTATGGCAACATTGGCACCCAGGACCGTCAGCCAAAGGGGCTGAGAGGGTCCAGAATATAAACAATGTTATAAGGAAGAGCCTGGCTTTTCAGGTCCTTCCAGGTTTTCCTAATTGTAGCTGGGATCTAGAGCTCTTGAGATCTCTTAGAGCTCTGGGTGGAATGAGATCTCCAGTCCTGGGGCCAGGTGTTACCAATGACCAGCTTGGGCTGATCAAGTGGCTGAGAGTAGCCTTATTAGGAGTCTGGACCAGAGTTGAATGGGAGTTGTGTGTGTGCAGGAGGCACACGGACACAGGCAGACTCAGGTGCATGCTGGGCACACGTGGAACAGCCCAGGGGGAGGCTGCGAGAGGTCAGGAAGGTCGGTGACCCAAGGGACCTGTTGGACGCACTGCTGGGAGAGCAGTGTGAGTCCCCACGTGGGGAGGGGTCAGGAAGGTCGGTGACCCAAGGGACCTGTTGGACGCACTGCTGGGAGAGCAGTGTGAGTCCCCACGTGGGGAGGGGTCAGGAAGGTAGGTGACCCAAGGGACCTGTTAGACACCGCTGAGAGAGTCCGTAATCCACTGCTGGGAGAGCAGTGTGAGTATCACACAGAGGTGTACTGAGAGGCTTTGAGCTGAGTAAAGCTACCAAGGACTGTATATGCTACAAGAATTGTATATGCTGAAGAAGACTGATTATTATGAGAATGTTGGCCTTTACGTGAACAAAAGACTCTCATTTATGTTGCTGCTGGAAGCTGTCTTGTACAAGAGAGGAGGTCTACCCTGTTGATGGAAAGAGACTTTTTGTGTTTTGCCCTTAATAAACTTCGTTTTACTTGCATTTCCTGACTACAGTGGAGTGTCCATGTTACAGTTCTTACTGATGATGCTTCACTGATTGACTTCCTCTGTCCACCTGCACAGACTCTGAGAATGGTTGTGTTTCAGAGAAGCTTGATTCCATTACATTCTCTCTTATTGGCTCTGGATTCTGCTCAGACTTTGTATACTGTAAAAGAAAAAGAGCAAGTGTAGAATTTTTAAAGACCATCTGGAGCAAACTTTAGCTCATAAATAGGGTGATTTTACTAAAAAGTATTCCATGCTGCAGTAAATAATTTTCATACATAAATATTAACAAATTTATATGGCTAATGAATGTACCTAAAATGTACATTAACACAAAAATACTAAATGGATACTGCACCTTCATAATTATACATATGATTGCCTATATTTTTCACAAGTAATGAAAATTGATAGGGTGAACCACATGAACTATGACTTACTGACAAAATGCTTAACAGGATATGTCTTGTTCCCACTATATTTATTGAAACTGATACAAGTGTATTACAGTCTCATAATATGTTTATTTTAATTGTGCTTAGGTCATTATAGAGCGACAATCACTTGTTTGCACATAAATGTATGCTTATAGTTGATGCCTAACCCACTATTCTCTTTTAACCATGATATATTGCATATATCTATATTATTATAGAGATGATCTGTCTATATTTTGATAGACATGTCACTGAATATATGGATATGGCTGAATTTTACAATCTACCATATGTATTTTATCTTCGCTTGTATAATTATCTACAGATATTTCCTGATATTTTAAAAGGAGATTTTTTAATATACAGTAGTTTTTTATACCATAAGAGAATTGCAAACACAAATGTGAACCTTTATTTAAACAGGTTTCAGACCCTAGGGAATATGAGTATGTTAGTATAACCTACTAACACCATAGAAGAATAAAAGATGTGATTTTATATTAGCTAAAGACACAGTAATTGTGCTGTCATGGTTAAAGGAAAGCCAAGATCCACATTCTTGTAGATGTGATTCACTCTTTCACTACCACAGTTTGTCCACTGTCAGCTCAAATCACATTAAATCAAATAATCATGTAGAAACATATTCAATGCCAGATACTGATAATTCTGTAAATCAGCAATAAGTAAATTGTAGAACTTTTGAGCAGGTGAAGAAAAATATAACACATATTTAAGTTCCTTGTAGTGGTTTGATGACTTGGTATCTTCCCCTAAATAACTCCTACACAGATCAAAGACTGACCACTGGTACAGGAAAATAAGGCATTAACATAAAACCACAGAAACATAATATTTATACTTACATTATGTAGTTGGACTCTATTTTCTCCAAAGCTTTTTGCCTTTGCTAGCAAACTGGATGCATGAAGACTATAGTTTTTCCCATTTTGTGTTTCTTTCAGCTGCTCTTGGATTATTTTTGTTTGTCTTCTAAACATAAAAAACAAACAAGGCATATGAGATTCTACAGACATGAAAATTAGATAAAAAATTATGGGACTTTCACACAGGCTGAACAAGGAAAGGATCCATGCACAGATAATCTCCTGATCACAGCAGTGACATCCGTGTTTATACAGTTTTTTGCGATGGAGGGAAAAAAACTGAAACTACCAGACCCCATGTCTGTCTATGGGGAATCGGATGTAAATTGACATATGTCCATTTACATTAGATTACTCCCGATCTGGCGCATTCCAGTCCGGTGAAACGGATCTCTGATCTGTTTGTTTTTCAGGACATGGCCGGAGTTGCGGGTAACCGGGTGTAAATGGACGCCCGTCCGTTTACACACGGCTGTCCATAAACTTACATTGGGCATCCGCCTGAAAAATTGACAGGCAGACCCGATCAGACCAACCATGTGAAAGGGCCCTTAAGAATCTGCCCAACAAAATAAATGGGTTTAAACGTTACCTTGGAACTGTTCATCACTTGCACTCTCCTCTTTACTCTGACCCTTGCACAAACCAGACAGCCTTAAAAGACTATGGATCACACCCACCATTAAACATTGCCCACATGGCTTCTCTGAAGCTAGAGAAATCCTTCAATACCCTTGCTTATCACTACACCACAAGAAGAAACATCAACTACCCCCTCACACTAGTACAGAATATAAAACAATAGGGTACATTGGGTTTAGAAGAAATGCTCCAAATCATCTCAAGCCGTGTAACAAGGGTGGTAACAGAATGGCACAGTAAGGTTTGTATGATCATCTTTTTTACAAATTACCCTATATGGTGTTTGGGTTTTCAAAAATGGGAAATGTATTAGATCATTTATCTAAAAACTGAAATCTCCATGAACTGTCCAGGCAAACAACTTCACTTATTCTTTGATCTTTTTAATATCTATATTATTTAAATGTTCAGCATGTATTCAAATTGAATTTCCAAAGTCAAGAAAAAAATCGGCACACTGAGATCAAGACCTTGGCAAATCAATCCCTAAAGGAAAGTAGTTAACAGTTCCATTATTAATTTCCACACTTCCCTAGATCAATTTGCAAATACAGCATATAGTAAAGAATATAACTGATTGTGAAAATGCAATGTAGTTGCACTGCATTTCATATTAGTATTGACATTTCCTTGCTTAGCTTAATTTTTGCAAATGTTAAAGTAAATCTCCGGACTCTTTTGTGGAGACCCTTAACAACCATTAGAATTAGACATTAAAGTGGATCACCAGTCAAAACATTTGTTTTGAATAGTTAGTATCCCTGGAAATGTTGTTTTCTGCAGCCTGTGTCTACAGAATCCCTGACATGAATGGAATTTTCTTTGAGCCCTGGAAAAAGTTTTTTGACCAGAGATGATTCAGCATCAAATGGTAACAAGTCTGCATAATATTGTTCAACATTTTTGTGGTTACAAACCTAATCAGTACCATGGCACCAGTTTGCATCTGCACAAATCTAACTATTGCATATCTAAGTGTCTCACTGAAGATTTTCATACATAGATGAATGTTTGTCATGATTTGGTAAAAGTGAAAGCTCCCCTAAGCTGAAAAGGTGGTATAGTAACTGAGGTTTCTGATTAATTTTATGCATGCACTATACAGCAGACACCCTTTGCTGACTACTTTAACCACCACTGCATTCTCATGACCATCAATACACCACAGGAATCCTATAAAAATAATGATTGTTTATACATGTGTATTTGCTTAGGGCTATGTTTGCCCTTCCCCACTCCCCATGCAGCAGCCCTCAGCCTGGCATCTAACAACTCAGACACCAAACACTGAAGTATCAAGTTTTTCTCACAGCTCCAATGAGGGTCAAGGTGGCAGAGGAGCACAGTTAAGGTAGGAGCAGCCACAATATGTGGCTTACTATACAGCACCACACTTATCTCCTTACTACAGGTTTGGTTTAACTATGTCCTTTGAAAATACTGCAGCTATATTCTTGTTATGCCCAATGTTCATTGTAGCATGCAGCTTTATATTTGGGTGCTTACAGGTCCCACAGGCATTCAGGACCATAGCAATTGACCAGCATACACTACAATATGTAGAAGTGTTGTTTGTATAGATAAATTATCAAATATAAGATTTGCTATTTACCTGAAAAATACAGATTCAGTTCCTGCCACTTGCTTTTGCAGGATCATGTGTTCAGAGCTTTTTTAATGTTGCTCATTAAACAATCCAGTTAAAACTGTAACTGGATATACAATAAAACCTGAGATAATGATAATTATCAGTGTCATCTTCAAAATAATAAGGAAATACGTTTTAGCTGTAAAAAGAAACAGCCTAAAGTGAAAAGAATAATCACTCATGAATTTATAAAACTGAACTGAAAAACAGCAAACCTGAATTAGCCAAACCATTAGCTGTGATTTTAGCTGAACCCACTAAAACGTAATCTTTCTCTTGGTTATACCAACACTTTAGAAAACCCTATAGTAGATAAACCTATGACTTCCCCAAAGGTAATCAAAAAGTGGTTCTCTTTATTCCAACAATTGGAAGCATCTGCTGAGATCTATAGTAGGGGAATCAAATGGGGAATTCCATTGCTTTTAATATTCAACTCAAAAAACTCTTGCAGAACTGGATGTTTTCATGCCCAAAATGCAAACTACAACACACCAGTCTCACTCACCTTCTTTGGTTTATATTTGCTCCCTTATAGAAATATTTTGAAAATTGTGTTTAATCTTTATGCATAGAGTAACAGGTACCCCCTGATTGGTCTATGTCATAATCCAGAATCATTAAGTGCACATCCTTCACCAACTCAGAGGAGAAGATGGGAACATATACATACTTGTGGTTAAAAAATCAGTCTTGTCCACATGGCTTCTTTCCCAAATGCCACTATAACAGACCTCAAATTGTACATATTTAAGAAAATTTGGAAGCTGTGAATCATAAACCTATTTGTAGAGGGTTTATTGATACATGTTCCAACTTTTTTATCCAAGAGCTTTCAAGAGACCAGCTGCTACTCTTTGCTACTATTTCAACATACAATCTGGTGCCACATTAAGAAACTACAGGAAACACTGTGCAGAACTCAACATCCTGTAATGTTCTCTTTGTAGGTTTCCAAGTCATTAAGATTTTCTTAGCCCCATTTAGACCACATAGCCACATTAAAGTATCATACCACTCAATATGTTAATTCCTTTAAGTTACTCTTGATACTTCTGTAAATGTATTGAATGGTATGCTGATAACGTTTTGTAATCTTTATATAATCTGGATATGTACATCTGTTGAATTTTAATGCTATGTATCACTTTATCAGTAAATGTTGTCATAATTGTATTTTTGTAACAAGCACAATAAAAATATATTTTAAAAATTGAGCTGAAAATGTTTCCAGTATATTAATAAATAGCAACTGTATTTTCCATCTACCAAAACATCTCTGTGATGTAATAAACAAGAATTTTTAATGCAAAATTTGATATTCAATGTTATCCATAATTTTAAGTGCTCTCCTTCAAAGTAGCAATGTTACAGCTGTAATGTTATTAATTATTTAACAGATATAATAATGGTACCAATAAGCATTTTGGTAAAACTGATGTGTACATTTTGTTCCTAATTTGAGTATCTTTTGTGGTGTAAACTGTCAAGACAGGTAATTTCTAGAACCTCACATCAGTAACAATCAACATTTTGGGCATTTCATAAGGTGAATTCTTCTTTGTCATGAAGGAAAATATATTCTGTATTAACAGACCATTATATGTTATATGTATTGATCAGACATAAAAATTTCCTTTTTTTAATATTCAGGTCTAATGTGTACTGCTAAATGTACAGTACATATATGCATGTCTGTAGACATTAAGGACTTATTCGCACCATGTCTTTTAAGCTGGGTTTGCACACCACCACACACGTATTGTGTGAAAGGGCACACAGAAATCAATTTCTCTGTTCTGTTTACACCATATGTGTGCAAGGGTGTGCATGTAAATACAGCTTAATGGATATAGCATAAACAAGCTCTTAAATTGTAAATCCATAATCCAGCCCTAAACCCTTTCACTGCCACCGACGTAAGGCTTACGGCGGAACCCAACTGTTTCCAGCTAGCCATGTCAATAAGCCTTACGTCAGTGGCTTTCTCCCTTCTGATATAAGCTCATTGTCACTTTGGTGACCATGAAGTTATATCAGAACGCTTCCCCTGATGGTCCCCTTTATAATAATAGCTATCAGCAGTGGCTGACAAGCCGCTGATGACAGCTGTTAACCAAGGAGCGCAGAGCCACTGTCATCCTGTCAGTTTCAGGATGACAGAGGCTGTGTGACCAAGCAGAGGTTTGGTAAATGTGTGATGTGATCATAATGGATCATAGTAAATATTTTACTATCTCCAGTTTCTGAATGAATGGTAAGCCTCTGTACTGAGTGTTTTGCATTCATTCATAACAGAGGCTGCAGAAAAAGAGATTGAAGACTCTGTGTACTCAATTTCTTTTTCTATTTTAAAATGGAAATGTCAGGGGTCTAGAATTATTGCTCTCACTCTGAAAATTTGCAGTGATATGTAACATGTGCGGCGTAATGGTTGCAATCGTTGTTTTCGCACATATGAGCACTCGACGCATGTTTGCACGCGTATATGTATGGGTGGGGACTTTAAAACATTGTTTGTGTTTTTCTTATTCTTTTTCATGTGTGGCTTACATTTTTTTTGCCACTTTCATTTTTTTCCACTTAACATTATTGTTATCTCACAGGGGGCTAAGAAAACCCCCTATGTGATAGCAAAGAGGTGTGACAGGTCCTCTTTATGGAGACATCAGGGGTCTCCAAGACCTCTAATGTCACCTGCTTCATCAGCTTCTCACCAGTTTCTGAAGCTGGAGAGTGACACAAGAATGCGGAAGTGATGTAATACACATCATTTCCGCATTCTGACACCGGAGAGGGGACCGGAGGGAGATCGTGTACCGATCTCTCTCTGATCCCCTGTCAAAGAGCCACCATGCGGGCTCTGTTGTGCCAGGTGTGAGCCTGGGACCAGCGGGAATGGGACCCCATACAAGCGATGCACGGCCCTTTAGCCAGCGAATCACTTGTATGTAAACAGGCATTACTGCCTGTTCTTAAATTTTTGTAGATTCCCGCTCGTGCGCGCGAGTGGGCAGGGCTAAGAGGCCATATTGATATGGCCTATTACATCCAGGAAGCTCCCTGTTGGCCGTGTTTTTTGTTTTTAACAAAGCCGTTAATATTTGCATTCAAGTCGGAAAAGCATTGCAATTATGATCATTCGATCACAGCTGCAAAGCTCAGGCTTCTGCACACTCTCTCCCAGGCAGAGCTCGTACTGAGGTAGGGAGTTTCAGTTATGAGAGATAGGGGAAGGACGGTTGGACTTCAAACTGCATTAAATCACCTCATACAGCGTTTCAGCTGTCCTTGCTCTTTGTAGATGCGGCAATATGGGCAGCTCTACTGCATTTAACCAGAGGGAGGGTGGCTGGATGTGCTATGAGGTGATTTAATGCAATTTAAAGTCCAGCCATCCTTCCCTCATCTAACTGAAACTCTGTACCTCAGTACGAGCTCTGCCTGCGAGAGAATGTACAGAAGCCTGAGCTTTGCAGCTGTGATTGAGTGATCATAATTGCAATGCTTTTTTCATGCTTCAATGCAAATATTAAAGAAATGCATATTTTTATATCTATTACTAATTATGCATTTCTTTAATTTTTGCGAAAGGTGAACTTATCCTTTAAATGCCCTTCCCCTAGACAAGAATATCCAGCATTCCACTGAATATTAAACAAAATCACTTGCAATAAAAAGAATGACTTATTTTTAACTCAAGATTTACATTCTTGCCTTAAACAAAACATCTTACTTTGTCCTGCAGTAGAAGGCTGCACAAATCAAACCCACAGCTACAATGCCGAAGACAATGCAGGAGATTGACAGGATCTGCTGTTGGTATACCTCTTCGCTCTCTGCAAGCAAAAACATTCATTTTTAGATGGTGAATTGTCTTACAATAAGAACCTCAAAGCCATTTCACTTTCTAGAAATCCGTGAACAAGCTACACTCGGTGGAAGAAATACAGTAATAGTCACTCATTTCCATATCTATGACTTTCAAAGCTGCAGACTTGACTTTTAAAAAGCAAGCTTTGTATGCCTTTTAGAAAATATGTGTGCTTGCATTCTTCATATTTAAATCATTTTGATATTACAATGGAATTTTACAAGATCGAACAATGACCATGTGTCAGTTCACAATATGCTGGAATAAAAGCAGATTTACAGTACATTCAGATAGAACATATCATATCATTCAAAATTACTAACAGTAGATAATAACAGCTATTGTGTCCCACATATGATACAGTTTAATGTGTAGAATATTTACTAGACCCACGATCTATTATTAGGAAAAAAACATATTTGTGTTTTAAAAAGGTTTCTGGCTATCAAACATCATATTTTAAACACAGAGCAATTACTAAAGTCAATCTATCTATAATTTATTTTATGTTACAGGAAAAAAATAGAAAACAAAAATATATATGAAAGAAAGCAGACCTGGAAACAGAAAGCTGATAGCATAGTGGTTCTAATAAAACAGATTGTATTCATTCCATTATCCTAAAGTTGGCTGTTGCTCTTTTCAAGTGACATTTATTTAGTTATCTATTTAGAACATAAAATGCAGTACAAAATTTAGCAGGCTACATTTCTGGTGCTTTGATCCAACATGAGGCTGGCAGATAGCATGAACAATTGGGTTATAGCTCTGCAACAATCTAAAAGTCTAAACACATAAAAAAGGTCTTATATTCTGTTGATTATGATAAGATGATCTAACACAATGGTGCATCACCCTGTTTGCTTGCAAATAAATAGGTTAATTAGACAGATTTGAAAATTAGAAAGACAAATTTCAATTACCAAGTAGATGATCCATCCTGATAAAGGCATTACTGCCAAGAACAGATGGTTTCTCACCACTGTTCCCTCTAAGCTCAGAGACCCAGAAATGAAAGGGCTAACTATCTCATGTAGGGGGTCCCCCACCTAGGTGCTCACAGAAAATATAATCGCCAGATTGCTGAGTTTGGAAGGAAAAGTGTTCCTCCCTTCTCTGGGGACACAAATGAAGAAAAGTCTTATAAGCCCTTCTGTGCTAGTTTGTGGTCATAGCTATAATAAAATTATTAATAGAAACTACTTTAAAATATTATGTGACAAGCAAATTGGTTTCTATACCAATATAAATATATTCTATATTAAATTGACAGACTGATTTTGATTCATCTGAATGTATTTGTGTAAATGCAACCAATATGCACAGAATCCTAGAATTGCTGAACTACATAATTGCCTATATTCCCAAATATCATAGTTTTCTTTTTACATTTTAGAAGTGTATGCAAATATTAAGCCAAACCAAAAACCAGTTACTCAGGAACTCTCCTTATTCTATCTTGACCAGTCCTGAAGGCTTTTATTTATTCTACAGCTGTCATACACAAAGAGGTATGATTGTATCCAATGAACTTTTTTCACTTGATATGAACATCCATCATTCAGTGTATGTCAAGCAATCTTCCCAACACCCTATCACTGGCAGAAGTGCTAACCAAAAGAATAGCAGCCTAAAAACTAGAAATGTCAAACTCAGTATATTCTGTTCCTTAGATAAAAGTCTACTTTAGTTGTCTGTTAAAATTATCAATGCCACTTTCTTTGTGAGATCATTCCACTCTTGAGGCAAAATTATTCACATTATTTAAGATCTCCCTCCATCCATGCTACATATTCATTTGTGGCAAATAATTTGTTAAGTTTTGTCAGCATAAACAGGAACATCTAAAGTTTATACTGAACTGCAAAAACATTGTTGGGCATGTTAAATCAACCAGTATATTGTCTGGCTGCATACTAAATATCCATTAAAGTGATATTAAACCATGAACTTTTAGGTAAAATGCAAAAGGATCATTTATATAAATGTCTAATTGCTGCTTCATTTTACCTTTAATATCCTTGTTTCTGCAAAATTTGAACACAAAGGTTTTCCTGTGTAAAGTTTCACCTATAGGGTGGCACCAACCCTTAAAGACACTCTTACATGCATGCTTCCAGAACTAGGCTGCATAATAATGTTAATAATGTGAATACAACAATCTAGCATGGGCACAAAGCTTGTCTGTGAACTGCAGTGCTGCCTGCCCACAAGCTGTTAGAGGCACAGCAGGTTCTCCTATAATGAGCCCTTATGTGGGTGACATAACAGTGCATGCTCCACATTGGGAAGTTCAGTGAAGCTGCAGAGATTGGTACAATGGTGGTCTTCTCAATAAAAGGTAGAAAATATATTTTTAAGATTACAAAAAAATGAAAAGTGCTACTATCTTAGTTAAGGGTATAATACTACTTTAAATGTTCATCTCTGGAATGACAGAAAGGCCATTAAATCATATAAGTGAATTCAGATTTTTTTAAAATACTGATAAGAGTAAATTCCCTCTGAGGGAGTCTTTTCAAATCCTGGAAGGTTTGTTTCAGAGATTGTCTGCCATGTGTGATGCAGACTATGAAGTTGTTCTTTTTCACTTCAGGTTCAGCTCAGGTTGAGGCTTCAACCCCTCATGCCAGTGGCGGGTCCCTGGAGGTGTCAAACATCAACGATGAAGAACTGGCTCTCTGCAAAGTGAAAAGGGCGGAGTCATAGGGAAGTGTCAATGGTGGGGCTACTGGGCTCTACAGCTTGGTAGTATGATGGATATTTTGGTTGGACTTTGCGCAGGAATCTCTGGTGCACTAAAAGGTACACGTTCGGTATTAAAATGCGCCCAGCACAAACAATCCGGTTGCTGTTAAAAGCATGCTGCATTCAGTTATTTCTGTATAAGGGATGAAGTACTTCTTTAGCACCAGAGAGAGTCAGACACAATGCTGGTTCAAGCTGGAGTCAGAGTAGAAAGGGGCAGAACAGGCCCCCCAGCTCCTTAATTTATTAAGGTCAAAGGACGACACCCAGTGGGAGACAGCTTTACAACATTAGCCAGTCAGCCCAGCAAGTACAGGTACACATCAAAAGGAAAGTGGACTACACCAAGATGGCTGAACAATGAAATGCACACACCTTATCCCTGTAACAAGGAAGGATGAGTTATGTCCATTGTCCCGACTGGCCATGTGGTTAATGATCCCACATCATCGTCAGCATGGACCCTACTCAATATTGCTCAGAGTGACCAGGATCTAGTAAGATCATTCTACTTGTTCTTACAGGTCTGAGACTATCTGAAGAGACATTGCTAATGCGGTTATCTATATACGACAAGGCAGATTATGTCTTCTTATAAAAGCAGATATGTATCTAAAAGGGATAGCGCAGTCCGCAATAGAGGTATAATACGCATCTTGTTATATGGACTCCGCTTCACTAATTTGTACAGAAGTTTGAAGGCAAGGAGCCCAGCGCAGTGCACTTAGTACTCACAAACCGGCAAACGCCTCCACACACCGCGAACATGTCTCCAAGCCCATGAGAAGGTTTTCATACTGACGGTTTTACCGCTGGTCCCGATTCAACCCAAGTACCCTCTGCTAGAGCATCCCTTGGTTACATCCGACACAGGGAGACAGGTGACAATACCTAAAACACACACATCCTAGAATAAAATGTCCACATAATTCCATGTAATAACATTTCCACAACAGTAGCCAGTAAGAACTTGGGAAACTGTTGGTGGACTTACCCACTTGGGCCAGAATATGGGCGGCCGGTGGCTGGAACCGTAAATAATGTGTCATGGTATACCACCCATAAGCGGTGAGTGGTGTTTTTTGGCACTTATTAGGGGCCAAAGTATTTCTTCTTGCTACATTGCACTATTTTCAGTGAGATTTAGTTAATTTGTCACAGGCATTGTTATTTAATATGTTTTGTTATTATTGTACATGTTTAAATCGTTGTGTCCGTTCAACCTGCCAATAAATGTTATTACATTACGTTCAGGATAGTTGTTAAATGCCATAAATTTCAAAATTTGCCTGGAACTGTTTCTTTGTTTGTGTTTTGGTTTTTAGATTTTGTGTTTTGGTTTTCAGATTGTTCAAGTAATTCAAAAGTGTTTGCGTGTATGTGAAGGCCCACTAATTTCTCTTACATAATTTTCCACCTCCACATTCACAAGCTATGCCTGTATAGTTAGCCTAGTTATTAGCAAAGTTATTATGCCACTGGGCATAATCTACAGGTTAACTGAGCATTATCAGGCTGCAAGCACTATTTTTGCAGATCGCACTGGACCGAAACGCAAGCACTAATGTGCCTGCATTCCGGTTACGGGCTATTGTACTGTGGGCGGGGTGTGTGACTGCGGTGCCATTGACTTCAATGCACCACCACGCCCACTCCCTTCCCAGCTGACTTGCGTTCCAGAGGCTGAATGCTCTGGAACACAGTCTTTGTGGTGTGAACTTGGCCTAAGAGGTAATAGTAAGCACTTCGAGGAAACCTGTACTAAGAGAAGCATGTAGGCTGTCATTGTTAGCTCCTCTGAAAAAAATAGTAGCCTGGTTGTCTTTTGCTTCAATACTTTTTGAGTCACTGAACAAGCTTGCAACAAGCAAAGTCAGGGTAAAGTGAGAGAGTTACTCAGAAAGCACTGAAGTCAGGGGTTCAACACAATAGCCAAACATGCAGCATAAGACGGGGGTCACAGCTTCTATATTTTTCTCAGAACGCCTTGTTGTAATGCCAGGGACCTGCGTTTTGTTCTTATTGGTGATGTCTTCATGGAATTTTTATGGTCTCCCCTCATTGCTGTTCAATTTCTTTGAGGCCATTTCATTCCTAACTAGAGCCCAAAACCTACTGGATTTACAACTGACCATATTTTGTGAGTACATGTGGACATGTTGCACTAGACATACAAGTTAAATAGACAGTTTAAGGAAACCATAAAGACACACAGCC